TTAAAACAGAAAAACAAATGGCACAAACGAAAAATAAAAACTTCGCTCTTTTTGTCCCAAACGAGGAAACAAAGTCAGTCTGTTTCTCCACAGGAGTCCAAGTGCTACATCTGCCGTCCATCCTCCATCACAGTGCCTTCGTTACATATATACTGCATTTCCCAGCATGCCCCTGCTCGTCCACACACACAAGGACACACTCCTCCTCCATCAGTGGAGATGGAGGGATAGTATGAAGAGATGAAGAGAAAAGAAAGCGTCTTCTCGACCACACAGTGTCGCTGTTTCCCAGAAAACAAATCAGTCAGTCACTAAAAATTCAGCACCAGTGGGAAAAAGGCCATTTTTGATTGTTTCATTTTTGTTTTGCACTTAACATTCGTTTTTATTTGACAACACGATTTAGAAAAAAAGAATCGACTTGACTCCTCCCCTAGACATAACCCCGCCCACTATGGCAGAAGTGGGCGGGGCCAGGATGACCCCTGTAGCTGCTGTATGACTTTTCCCGCTAATAGAAAAGTTTAATAATAGTCTTTGGCAGATTTACAGAAAAAAAGGCCGTCTGCTGAGAGAAAGAGAGACAACAGTCTCATCTGATTTATTTCTTTATTCAACACTGAGGATGATTACGGTCACAGAAATGAGCCACAACGACAGAAACTATTAGAAAATGAATCTATTTCAGGGTGAACATTTACGCGTGTAATTCTTTTTGTGATAATCTGTCAGTCTGTGGAGCTACGTTAGCTCATCCTTAGCTTGTCCTTATGTTTTGTTGGTTTGTTGTTAGCTCGTCTCATTGGTCTGGGAAGCCACATTAGCTCGACCTGTATGTCTGGAAAGTAATGTTAGCTCATCGTTACGTTGTCTTGTTGCTCTGTGAAGCTCCGTTTCCGTATTCTATAGGTCTGTGAAGCTACGTTAGCTTGTCCCACCGCTCTGTAAAACTACATTAGTGCATCCTGTAGGTCTGGAAAGTTATGTTAGCTTGTCTTTGGTTGTCCTGTTGCTCAGTGAAGCAACATTACCTTGTTCTATTTATGTGAAGCTTTGTTAGCTTGTTGTTAGCTCTTCCTGTCAGTCTGTGAGGCTACATTAGCTCATCCTGTAGGTCTGGAAAGTTATGCTAGCTTATTGTTAGGGTGTCTTGTCGCTCTGTGAAGCTACATTTCCTTCTGTTTCCTTTCTTTCATTCTATAGGTCTGTGAAGCTACATTTCCTTATTCTATAGGTCTGTGAAGCTACGCTAACTTGCCCCATAGGTCTGTAAAGTTACATTAGCTTGTCCCACTGGTCTGTGAAACTACATTAGTGCATCCTATAGGTGTGGGAAGTTATGGTAGCTTGTCTTAAGCTGTCCTGTTGCTCAGTGAAGCTACGTTAGCTTGCCCCATAAGTCTGTGAAGCTACACTGGCTCGTCTTATAGGTCTGGGAAGTTATGTGAGCTTGTCATTACCTTATCCTGTCGCTCAGTGAAACTATGTTAGCCTGTTTTATAGGCACGTGAAGCTGTGTTAGCTCATGCTCTAAGTCCGTAAAGCCCTGTGTGCCCTGTAGGTTTGTGAAATTGTATTAGCTTGTTGTTGGCTTGTCTAGTTGGTCTGTAAAGCCCAATTCAGTTTGTACTGTCGCACTGTGACACTATGTTAGCCCATTGTATTGGCATATGGAGCTACGTTAGCTTGTACCGTAGATCTTTGACGCTATGCTATCTTGCCTTGTAGGTCTAGGAAGTTATTTAAGGTCATCATTCAATTGTCCTTTTGTATTGTGAAGCTACACTACCTTGTTTTACTGTAAAGTTACGTTAGCTTACCCTGCAGGTCTGTGAAGTTACATTTGTCCTGCAGGTCTGAGAAGCTATGTTAGCTCTATCATTAGGTCTGTGAAGGTACATGAGCTTGTCTGGTCAGTCTTTAAAGCTATATTAGCTTTTCCCTAGCTCGTCCCATCTGTCTTTCAAGCTACATTAGTTCATCCCCTAGGTCTGTGGGGCTACGTCAACTTGTACTGTAGGTCTAAGAAGTTACAATACCTTCCCTTGTAGGTCTAGGAAGTTATTTTAGGTCATTGTTAGGTTGTCCTGTGGCATTGTAAAACATTACCTTGCTTTACTGTAAAGCTACGTTAGCTTACCCTGCAGGTTTGTTAAGCTACATTGCTCCTGTAGGTCTGAGAAGTTGCTAACTTGTCATTGGCTTGTTTTGTCACTCTGTGAATGTTAGCTCATTACGTAGGTCTGTGAAGCTACGTAGCTTGTCCGTAGCTATTCTTTACTGTCTGTAAAGCTACATAAGCTTGTCTGGTCTATCTTTAAAGCCATGTTAGCTTGTCCCTAGCTCGTCCCATCGGTCTGTAAAGCTACGTTAGCTCATCCAGTCGGTCTGTGAAGTTGCATTAGCTTTACCATTAAGTCTGTCAAGCTAGGTTAGCTTGTCCAGTAGGTCTGTGAAGCTACATTAGCTTGCTGCATTGAGCTGTGAAGCTACATTAGCTTGTTGTTAGCCTGTCCCCAGTGACTGTGAAGCTATGTCAGAGTTAGCAGTATTTTTAGCGGTCGTCACTCAGATGTCAGACTCTGTTGGATGTGTCGTAGCAGCAGGTTTGTAGAGCTGCTGCGTTGTGTTTGACGGCTGTGTCCAGTTTCTGTGACTGTATCATCAGTGAAAATGTCTCAGAGATAAAACTGATGTTGTGGGACAAACCAGGTTACAACTAACAGCTGCAGCAGAACAGAGAGCTGGTGAACGCTGCTCTGACTGAAGTCTGTTAGAGTCTGTTTCTGCTGCTGCTGCTGCTGCTGCTGATGATGATGATGTTCTGTCTGTTGATGAAGAAGTCCAGAGCTGTGATGAAGAATCAAAGATGATAATCAGCCTGATATGTTTCATTTCTCTGCAGAGAAACCGACTGAAGCTGGACTCCACTGACCGCCGTGTTTCAGGTAAATAGTTGGTACGAATCTGTGTTTCTAAAATTTGTTTTTCACGTCACTTGGTACCAAAAAGATTCATTAAGTCAGTGGTGTTTGTACATGCTCATCTCCCTGACTGCTTAATCTGATATTTACTCTGGTTTCTCAGATATTTCCTGATTTAAATAACATTTTTGTTAATTGTATACCATATTTAGTCAGACGTTGTACTGAAAGACCACATCAGTGTGTTTGCAAGTTTTAGCTGAACTTATGGACCCTTGAAAATCCTAAAAATGTATTTTTTAAAGCTTGTAAACAAGATCAAATTATTAGCATAATATGTTGTGTAGGATATTTAAAAGAATATACTGTAAATATTATTCTGTTCATTATTTAGCTCAGCTGCAGAGGATATCAGATTCATTTCTAATTCACAGTGTTTGATAAAAAATATTTGGTCATATTTTATTTTGAAGCCTCCTTTTCTGATCTGCTATTTTTTCAGCATTTTGCTGTAAACAAATTCAACACTTCCTGTATGTATTCCAAATTAAAAGCCTTTCAGTGGACAGAATACCTTAATTTCCTATCAAGGCTTTTATTGTGAAATATTTGCTCAGTTCCTATACGATAAATCAAAAGTAGCTACGGCTGTCTTGTGGCTCATGTACGTTACTACAAAATCCAGTTTGGCTGGAAAATTAACATGTTTTAGAGGAGGTCTCCAAAGTGCGTAAATAACATGACGTTATTCATTGATTTATTAAGTACTGAGATGTACATGTGATTATATAACAGGTACCACAAGTTTATCCTTCTTTGTTTTATTTCTCCAGCCATTATTAGAGATCCGACTTTTATTTGAGGAAATAAGGTATTTAATTTTATTTTAAAAGCATGCTTTTGGGACTTCAGGGTTTCCATATTTATTTTAAAGTTTTTTTCCCCAGTTTTTGATGTATTTTTCTCTCCAGGCAGCCATTGATTTCTGTTAATTTACATACTGTACAATATAAAAAATTACCAGCAAACTATTGCTCATATTGTAAAAGACATCACAGAGAACATCAGCTCTGGCTTTTTATCATTATTGCTGCATAACGCAGGTTAAATACCTCTGATCAATAGTGTCAGATTAAATGAATGCAGAGTGAATGTTTATTCCATCATGTTTACATTGATGGAATAAACTCCAACAACGCTCCTCTGTTAAAAGATTGTAATTCTGCTCTGACATGAAACCAGCCGCTGCCTGGAACAGCTGAAGAAGTACATTTAAATCTCCAAAATACACCTGAAGGTTGAGTTGGGACATAAAGCGTCTTGTTTGGAGACCCTGAAGTTCTTAAAGTTTTGTAGGTTTAGGGTGCGTTTACACCTGCCGTGTTTGGTTCAGTTCAATCGAACTCCAGTTGGTTTGCTCCCTCAGTGCACCTCCTCCTGTACTGCCTTAATATGCACATTCAGCACATCCAATGCATCAAAACATTGTTTTCTAGTTGGAGCCGCGCCTCGTTTTCAAACTGTATGGTTTGACTAAAATGAACAATGACAGCAATATAGTCCACGATGAGCAGCGCTAAAATCAACCTGCGTAGTTGTCCCTCCATTGTGACATTAGAAAGTGTCACATTTATCTTGCAAGTGTACTCTTCTTCAACGTTTGCTTTACTTCCTGGATTTTTCCCACATGGAAATTCTGACCAATCAAGAGCAGCTTTCTCACACAAGGCATTTGATCTGGTCCTCTTGTAAATGCTGCCGTGAGAACACGAACCAACTCTAGGCAATTATACAACTTTGGAACAACATGAGTCCCTGATTCAGACCAGAGGAGACCACTCTAGGGCAGACAGCAGCCTCAGAGTCAAGTTCTGGCACAAGATTAAAGAAACATCATGTTTAGGGGCTTCGACAGTGACAGCGCCATCTCTTAACTTATCCAAAAGCTTTTGTAAGATTCAGAAAATATCATGGATCATGATCATTATGCAATGTTACAGACATGATATAAGATGACAGCCTCGCCTGCACTGGTTATTATAGCTTTTGGGTGTCCCAAAGGATGACACTTTGTGATTGAATCTGCACGACAGAACTGCTTATGAATTTTGAGGGTTTGTAGATTCATAGTTAACACCTAAAACATGTTAAACTGCTGGTGTGGTCCTTTAAGTTTGGCTTTTTTTAGAAAAACAAAAAAGGGTTATGTAGAAAAATGTATTTAGACTCAAAGTACTTTTACTCAAAGTAAAGTTTTGGCATCTGAACTGAAACTCAGGTTTCATTTTGGTGGCAGAATAAAAAAAAACATCTAACAAGTGTCAGGAACTTAAGAGGCAGAAGTTGGATAAATATACTGTAAAACTGTAAAACAACCAAACATACATAAACACGTATGTCTGTATGTCAGGTTGGGAAGTGTTAAATTTAACGTGGGAGTCTGGACTCTGTCGAAGCAGAAACATCCATCAGAGAGCAAAGATGATTCCAGCAGTGACTCCGTATGCAGCTCCAGGCTCCTCCCACCAGTGACCTCAGCTGCCTCTGATTGGCTGCACTGCTGAGTGGCGTTCAGGTGAAGGTCAGAGGTCAGGGAGAGGAGGGCTGGATTTGTTTCCTGTCTCAGGTTTTCTCCTCAGAGTGACGGGAAGACGGCGATCAGTCCAACTGGAGGAAGAAGAAGAGGAACAGGAGGTGCTATGAGGAGGCGAGGATGAGCATGAGGAGGAGGGCGAGCAACATGGCTGACAGCAGGGAGAGGCGGGGCAGAGCGATGTTGCAGCCACCGGTGGTGTCGTCTGTCAGGAAGGGCTCCGGAGACTCGTACACCGAGTCATCTGAGAGAGACACAGAGACAAACTGTAAGAAGCTGGATATGGACTATTCTGCACGGGACTGAAGAAGAAGGACAGGATTTATTCTCTGTGTTTCATTTACAGTCTGAGTTTAACTGGAACAAAATGAATCATAGTTAAATTATTGTCGTTTTGTGTTTTGAAGTTTAACCTCACTTTATCCTACAAACTGAACTTCAGTATTAATAGCGCAGCAAACTGTTTGCTATCAGTGTTTTACTAATGTATGAGTTAGTTTTTGATCAATATTACTGCTGCATTAATGTGCATGTTGCATTTTCCAGCTTATCCATGGGGGTGTTTAAGGAGTTCATTTACGTTCGTCCTTCAGTTTTATCACAAACATTCAAAATCAACACATCTGGAGATACATAGTTTTCACTGGACAGTTAGGGGATGAAAAACTGTAATCTGTAAAGTAAACTACATGTAAAATCATCACAAAAAATCATACTTTAATGTATAATAAATATGTGATTAAAAAATAAAGATTAAAGTATGTTGTAAAAAACTAATAAAAAATTCAACGCACAGTATATTATTTTCTTAAAGTCATAAAAAAGTCAGTATGAAAAAACTATAATAGCATAGTGTCGTCATAAACCATGAAAAAACGTCATAGTATAGCATGTATAGTATTATAAAAATGAAAACAAAAATGTCAGTGCTGGATTTGCTCAGAACACCATCCTCTGTGGTCACCTTTCATTTGGCTATCTTCATTTTAGTTTTGTCTATTGTCAGTCATTTTGTGTTTATGTATTGAAACTTACATCCAGATACACCTTCTCTTTGTCTCCTACACACACACACACACACATACACACACTCACTGTGTCTTAGTCATTAGTTCAGTTGATCAAGCCTGTAAATTTGTGTGTTTTTGTTGTAATTTTGCTTTGATGTGAATAAATACTTATGGAATAATACTTGCTATCTGTTTAATATTACACAGAAGTGAATAAATTTCCAAGGTCTTCCATATCAAAACCTCTGAAATTAATTTTACAATTGAGAATTTACTTTTGGAAGTGTTAAAATTTTTATGTCATAAAAAAAGTCTGAGTATTTTATGTCGTCCAAAATCATGAAAAAACGTCATAGTATAGCATGTCGTCAGCAACCATGAAAAAACGTTATTATATAGCATGTCATCCAAAATCATGAAAAAACATCATAGTATAGCATGTCATCAAAAATCAAGAAAAGACGTCATAGTATAGCATGTCATCCAAAATCATGAAAAAACGTCATAGTATAGAATGCCGTCAAAAATCATGAAAAAAACGTCATAGTATAGCATGTCGTCCAAAATCATAAAAAAACGTCATAGTATAGAATGCCGTCAAAAATCATGAAAAAAACATCATAGTATAGCATGTCGTCCAAAATCATAAAAAAACGTCATAGTATAGAATGTCGTCAAAAATCATGAAAAAAACATCATAGTATAGCATGTCGTCCAAAATCATAAAAAAACGTCATAGTATAGAATGCCGTCAAAAATCATGAAAAAAACGTCATAGTATAGCATGTCATCCAAAATCATGAAAAGACGTCACAGTATAGCATGTCGTCATGAATCATGAAAAAACGTCATAGTATAGCATGTCATCCAAAATCATGAAAAAAC